CCTGAAGGCTGAGCACGTCCTGTCCTCCCCGGGAGCCTCCTGAGCCCTGGGGTCTCCTGCTAGAGCAGGGCCTGGCTGTGGGGTGGGGTCCCCCCAGACCAAGTCTCCCTCCCCTCTTCCCATCTCACCGAGGCAGAGCAGGGCCGTGAGGGTGGGGGTCATGGCGTCTCCTCCTACTGGACCTCGCTGTGCCGATGGATGAGACCACAGTGTCTGCAGGACAGAGAGACACACAAGGTGTGGCCACTTGGAGGCTGGGTCCTTCCCCTCATGGGGTTGTCCCATCAGCAGCCCCACGGGAAGGGGAACTGCCCTCCCCACAAGCCTGGTTCTCATTTACCCGGGGCTGGGGCTGGGGCAGGCACCAGGCCCTCTGCAGACATTTCAGACAGAACTGGGGTCTCCTTGACCCCCAGCCGCCGTCTGCCTCATCTGTCCTCATCTCACTGAAGTTCAGAACGTAGAAGGAAACAGATCCAGAGCCTTCGACGTTGGCCCCTCCCAGGTGAGGGTGATGAGGGCCCCTCGTCCCTCTGGGAGCCTCCCCACGGGGCCTCCTTCCCCCCTCAGCCCGTCCTTCAGCCCAGCGCTGCGGGTCCTCCCCACGGCAGTCGCCTCCCCACCCTGGGGACGCTCCAGGGAAGCTGCAGGTTCGAGCCCACGGCGGACTCAGACCAGCAGAGACACACGAGCGTCTGACGGCGCAGTTCTCCTTGAGCTGCCTTGTGGCCGTGAGCACAAAGGGGACATATAAGGCAATATGGTTAGAAAAATGACACCTCTATTGGCCATGGACTGTGGGTTTTCATTGTACCAAACATTCCCCCTCTTGGGCTTCCGCTCCCCTTTTGCTATTTTTAGCAGCAGCGTCACCTGCGCCTCCCTGGGAACCAACCTCTCAGCCACTGCTGCCCCCTCAGCCCCTGGTTTCCTCGGGCGTCACGCTGCACCTCAACCCCTGGTCAGGGTTTTGGGAACAATTACTGATGTTTGAGCTTGGATATGGGGCATTGGGTGGGGAGTTGATTTTTATTTAATTCCTGATGATCACCCACTG